TTCGTCAGCTTTCTACTCCACTCTTTGATTCTCATCAATCAGCCTCGGTTCTGAGAAGCCTTTACTTGTCTCTACTTGGTTTCAACATTTCCTGGATTGACAGCCCATCAACCAACTCAGCCTTCTCACGCCACAAGACACCACTTCATAGCCAGATATCACGATGAGTCGCAGCCATGGGCCTGACTTGATTCTCATGGACAGTGCCGACACCCTCGTTTACATCGACGACACAGAACCACACGATCGGTCAAGGTATTCCTTGCAACCACAACGCGCAGTTACAATTCCCCACAGAGTCCATAGTCAAAGACTGCTGTCCACGGGTTCTGCCTACTTTCGCAAACTATTTGAGCCTAGAGCTCAGTCTCGAGTTCTGAAGCGTCGCAAGCTAGATGGGACGTTGCCTGACGGTGTGAAGTTTGTCATTGACCTCACGCCGCCCACCACAGATGATGAAGGGGTGAGGTTTACTACAGAGCTTTCGTGTCCGCTGGGGTTACGAAAATGGGCTCTTGCACAAAATCGATGGACCCTCCCATCTCACCTTGTTAGTGGCATAGACGATGGACTTGAACACTCCAGTAGCAGTGACGAGCCCGGCATCCCTGTTGAGTATTCAGAGGCTCGCAACCGCCGAGGGATCGCTCATGTCCTCCAAGCCTTAGAAGGACTCAAGCCTCAGCTTAACACTCCGTGCAAGCTCTGGACGTTCCTTGCCTTGGCTAAGCTGTATGGCATCGCTCATCATCCACGGGTCAAGGTCCCGATCTTGACCTGGATTTACGAGGGTAGGAATTCTCTACTCATTGAACTGCACCCAGAGATTGCATACGGAATTGCTTGCTCTATCCAATGCGAATACTTGTGCCAGGACTCATTTTCGATCTTGGTCGGAGAGGCATCTTTGCGATTGATGGCGGAGCCGAACGCAACACTTACCCGCCCTTGGGATTCGCACGAGACTCTGTACGGCCGGGTTCGGGAGGTTCTGGATGATGAGGACCGGCAGCGAGTGGAGTATGCCAGTCAAAGCTTCAAGGACCATGTCATTGACACTTTTCTTGAGCTCGTTGGCAGCAAGATGCAATGGCTGGAGAGATTGCCTGCGGTCCACAAAGTGCTCTTACACGAAGCAGGCGGCCCTCCTTGTCCTCTTGCATCTAAGCTCATCAGATGTCTCAAGAACTATGTGCGACACCATATTATTGATGCATTAAATACCGACCTGGTAACTTGGAAGGAGATCTCAGTGCTTCATGAGCCCGATGATGATTACCCGGGAGAGCGATTTCTGAAAGCTTATACCAAGATGCATTATACCGAGCGCATTATGAGCCGAACTTTCTGGAAGAACCTCGGGTCAAAAAATTGGAGCAATCTCCTACCGTCAGCCTTCGTGTATCTGCGCTCAGCCAACTCCATCGCAAGTCAATCGGTCGCCGATCTGGGCCGTCATCTACAGCCATTTCGGGCGCAGGAAAATACCAAGATCGGACTTTTTGACACGGGTGACTTGGTTGGAGAAGTCAACCGTTACAACGCCCACACCGGCTCCGGTCGTCCCGTTTATGGCGCGGATCTCATTATTGTGGGCGACACTGGAGAGCTGGAGTCAGCATGGAACAACACCCTGGGTCATCTCTCGAGCGAAGCACCCTCCGGTCCAATCTGCCATCTCGGAGGTCTCTATCCGGAAGGGTACATTGACTTTAACCCTCAGGATTTTTTCAGCCAACTTTCTTCCTATCTGCACTCAATATCAGACAGGATGCGCGGGTCCTATCGATCTGAGATGGATCAGCTAATTACCGACTGTGTCAGCTGCCTGACTGCGAATGAAGTGAAGTATCTTCCTTTGTGGGCGGGAGGTAACGACGATGGTTCTGGAGGTGTCTTCGCCGACCTTGACATTCCAAATGCCGAGCTTGCAGGGTTCGCGACGCCGGGACCGGGGATACATATGGGAAGCTCGGTTGCTTCGAAGCCGCTCTCAGACTATTCTTCCACCATGTATGAGAGTACGGTGCAAGCTGCGTCGCACGGGGCGACAGGCGGATTTGGTACGGATGTCATGTCGTTCAGCATGGCAAGCGAAAGAAGCGGTATTGAACAATCTATTGCAGATTTTGAAGACTTGTCACTTGAAGATGCGATCCGGCCACTCTAGGCTTATACACTGAGACGAAAGAAGATTTATGTGAGATATTACAGAGAGAGATCTAGCTAGAATCTAGAGCAAGATTGTCTTTTCAGCGAATGTTTCGTGTAGAGAGTCAATATCAATGCCTGGGAAGGCAGCCGCGTAGCACGTGATGGAATCCGGGGTTTGGGGGCGGCGACGTCACGGACCGATGATCTTATCTCGCAATCGATGCCTCCAGGCACCAGACAGAGACAACAACTGCAACCTCTTCGCCTGCCCTGCCAGCTGGTGACAACCTTTTTGCAGCATCGACATAGAATTGGCAGGAACTTAACCATCTCAGCATCATGGCCGCCGCCTCATCCTCGAAGCCCTCGAGCTTCCTGCTCTAGTACGTCTTTACCAACCCACAAACCTCAACACAGAAAAAAAAAAACAACCCAGCTGCTAGCCAGCCAGCTTCAGTTCTCCTTCCCAATGCAATTCTACTGCTAAGCCCACAACTAACCAATTCACCTTCCTTGGAAATCCAGCTCCTGCATCGCCCACCGCACCACTATCCTAGCCGAACACTCCTCCCCCGGCACCTCCTCATCAGCCGCCTCCTCCCTCGCCTCCATCATCCTCCCCAAGATCTCCCACGACCAGCCCCAGAAGCTCACGTACACCCACGAGCGCCTATTCGTGCACTACATCGCCGACTCCCCCAGCAGCAGCACCAACAACAATAACAATGACTCCTCCTCATCCACGGAGCCCAACTCCTACGCCCCGCTCAGCTACATCGTCGTCGCGACCGCCGAGCAAGGCCGCCGCATCCCCTTCGCATTTCTCCTCGAGATCAAGCGCAAGTTCCTGGCGGCCTACCCGCCGTCCAGCACCGACTTCGCCACGCTGCCGGCCTACGGCTGCGCCGCGTTCAACCCGGACCTCCGCGCGCTGCTGCAGACGTACAACACGGCGCCGCCGTCGGACTCGCTCGCCTCGGCGCGGCGCGAGATCGACAGCGTGCGCGACATCATGACGGAGAACATTGAGCGCGTGCTGGAGCGCGGCGAGCGCATCGATCTGCTCGTCGACAAGACGGATCGGCTCGGCGGCAGCGCGCATGATTTCCGGATGCGCAGCCGCGGGCTGCGCCGCCGCATGTGGTGGAAGAATGTCAAGCTGGTCGTGCTGTTGATTGTGGTGATCGTGTTCCTGGTGTATTTGTTTGTCGGGATGGGGTGTGGGTTGCCTGCTTGGGGGAAGTGCGTGGGTTGAATGTTTCGACTGGTTGGTTGGATGGCAGTGAGTGGAAAGAAAATGGGGTGATTGGGTGGGTGGGGGTGTGAGATTGAATTCCTTTTTGTTAAGGTTGAGATTGAGCCTTGTGCTTGTTGCGTGTTGTTGATTTGCGTTTGTTTTGAGTTGCGGTTCTTTTGCGCTGGTTGTTGATTGATGGGCTCATGATTGTCAACGGGTGATGGTATCTAGTTGAGGTTGGTGGGCTGGGCTGGCCTTTGAGATGGATGGAAGCTCAAGTTTTAATTCTGTATAATATCATGATAATGTAGTCTGGTTTACTTCTATATCACTATTAATCCCCCGGTTTTAGACCAAGCCTGTGGAGTATAAGGAGTCGGCGATGGAACAGACACCGGCAGATATAGCTCGAGACCCATTATATAAAAACATATTGCCGTATATGGCAAATAGAATACACTTCCAGGCACCAGGCTTGGATATGTCTCGAACCAGCTCAAGAGATAGACTGCAGAGCTCATGAGCATACAATACAAATCTAACTGCATCGTCCATCCAATGCACACCTTGCGTAGTTCACAAAGCGCCCATAGAAGGTGCACAACCAGGAGATTCAGAATGAGAGGGAAAAGAATCAAGTATCGTGATATGGTGTTCAATTGATCAGCTACCTAAGCAATCTAATTGCCAAAGTTTACAGTATGTGTCTCACTCTCAAACCCACAGCGTCCTTGCCACCGTGGTAACATCAGTGCGGGTCTGCAAGCGAGGCAAACGAACCCCCTGGATTAGATCCAGGTATAGGTTATTTGCTATTCCTTCTTCGCCAGTCGTATACCCCATCAAGCATTGTGAAGGGTTGATGGGGAGATAAACCTGGCGCAATTCCTGTGGGAAATAGGGGGGGGATGATCAGGGGAGCGATCAGCTACGTTTGTCGGGGTAGTCGTAGCGCATTTCTCGAGGTACTGTATCTTCCGTAAAGATCTCGTGCCTGGCCAATTGTGATCGTGACAGTCCAGTTCCTTAAGCGGGATGTTTCAGCCTTTGCCGGTATGCTTGCGCTTCATCGAGGGTTGAGCACGGAGATTGAAAACCCCTAGACCATTGACCTTCATGCACCAGCATCCGGAGTTGTGGCATCGCCCTCGCAAGTCTAAGCCCTGCTTAGATTGTTGTGATAGGACGTGCAAGTCAAAGGTCGTCAAGTCCGGATGATTGCATCTCGGATGCATGCGGCCAATGGTATAGTGCTTGTCTGCAGATTGTCCCAATCATTTTTAAGACGCTTCAGCAGATCTCCGCGAGCTCGGGAACATGATCGTGGTGCAGATTCCCTGGCGTGTTGACAACTCGAAAGAATTCGCATGTTGTGAGTTAGACAGAAGTCGATGGGCGACTCCCGCGGACCTTTTCAATGGGCAGTGTGCGTCACATGACCCGAGCTGCGCTTAGCCTTACTAGAAGCCCCCTCATTCGGCAGCTTACAGCTAGTCCCAGAAAGTACCAATCAAAGCTCACCGCCTGCCTATCTGACGAGCGGTCCGGGTCGATGATCCCTCCGGCCATTGTTCTATTGCATTTCGCGATGCGCTATCCGTAGTCGCGTCAAGCTTCGATTCTTGTTTTTATAGAGTGTTACAGAATCTTTCTGTGAAATACCGATGTGCTACTAACATTCACTTATTCTTTCTTTCCTGCACACATCTATGCTATTCGATCTCATGTCATGATCCAGACGGGAATCTATTCGCGCCTGAAACCCCGATAACGCGGCCTGGCACCAAAAACGGCAAGGAAAAATGTCAAACAACGATGACATTCAGTGGCTGGAAAGCTACCTGCGCTATGGCTACGACCCCGAGGTGCAGAGGTTTGAAGACAATAATATGGCATACTTTCAGGCAAATCCGTACTTTGCCTTGCCCCCGCCGTCTCAAATGTCCCACCCGTCGCCAGGAACGAGTCACGCTCGATTTCAACCACCTTACCCTCAAGGTCGTCCATCAGCGGAGAGAACCAGTGTGAGGCCTACCGGTGTTACTCCTTCCTCAGCACCCGCTCCTTTTCCAACACAATCTCGCCCACCGCATGCTCCACCTCGTTATGCGCCTCCATCGTCCGGCGCGCCACCCCCCGTGTCCCAGACGCAAGGCTCGCAGGTTCATTATGCTCCTGCCAGGGGACCCGAGTCTTATCAGAACCTAGCGCAGCAAGCTCTCTATCACTCGCAGCGGGCACCGTCTCCACGGCCTCAACAACCAACCCAATCCTCTCCACCTACCACGACAGCAGCACCTACAGCACCTGCAGCAGCTGCTCCGCCGCCTACGAAGACAGCTCCGCCTCGGCCTCGAAACACAGGGTCTCCTCAATTGCTTAACCCCACACAACCCCACCTGCCCAACAGCGCGGCCCCTCGCGCACCTCAGGCTGGCCCTCCAAGAGCCTGGACAACGATGCCTGATGGTAACAGAACGGCCTCGGCCTCTGCGCCCGGGCGCGCGCCTCCGCCGACCTCGAAGACAGTCCCTCCTGAGGCGCAGAAGTCTGTTTACCATCCAACGCCTCAGCCGATGCCGTCACCTTCGGCTTACTCCGCGCCTCCGCAAAATCCGCCAGTAACTCAGGCTACCGGCGGACCCAACCAAGCTCCTACTGCTGGGTCTCACACGGCTCCTTCACAGGGCAGGCCACAAAACGGCCCAGTAGATCAGAATGCAGGCGGGCACAATCAGAACTCTTCCGCCGCGCCTTACGGGGTATCACCGCAGAGTCTGGTACGGAATCCAGCAACAAGTCATCATACGGGCGGACCTTACCAAAGTTTATCCGCTGGGTCTCATGAGACACCATCGCACGGTATGCCTCAGATGCCACAACCCGGAGGTCAACCAGCTTCTGCCCCGGCTCCTGTCCAGGCTTCTGCCCAGGCTCCTGCCCCGGCTCCTGCCCCGGCGCCCGGCCCAGCACCCGGCCCAGCACCAGGTACAGCACCAGGCCCAGCGCCTTCGCAAGTGATCCCTCAAAAGCAGAAGTTCGATGCGTTCACGAGTCAGGAGTCTGGAAATCCTGCTAAGAAACGTCGCGTCGGACCTCCAAAGACATCAAAGCCACCGGCGTCGTTTGCGTCCACGGGTGCCGCCCATCCTCCAATCCCGGCAGGTGGGCTGTCTGTCTACAGTTACTCTCCCGCAACTACCCCGGGGCTCAAAGTGAAGTATCATTTGAAACACCGCGCCGACATTGTGAAGCCTATAAATGAAGCGGATGCTGCTCGGAAGCTGGCTTATGACCCTAAGACCATTGCTAGAGATGTTCTAATTGCATCCGGTCGTCATCCAACTGAAGACGCTCTGAACCATCACCTCTTCCGTCTACGGGATGTGTTCACACATGTGGACAACGGGTCAGACCTGGCGACATTTCGATGGGATCTAGTAGATTCGCAGGAGACACGTGACCAGGGACGGATGGGCGCTCCCCTTCCGCCGTCCAACCGACTTTCCACGCCCAACCAACTTTCCGCGCCGCGTCCCGCGCCGCGACCGCCGCACCCGATTCCTGCTCCGCCTCATCTGAACTTCCCATCAGCCCCAGTCCCGCCAGCATCTGCGCAACCTCAGCAGGCACTGCCTCCGCATCCAAAACCGCAAGTGCAGCCATCGCAACCTCCTCCTAGCTCCCAAATCTCCTTCCAGTCTCCTAGTCCGCAGGTCCAGCTTCCGCCCAGAAACGGTGTTCCTCCCTTGCAGTCCCCGTACACACCACTACCACCAACGCCGCAGCCGCAGCCGCAGTCACAATCCACACCCAGGACACCGGCGAGCGCGATGGTGGGCAAGCGGGGACCTGGTCGTCCGCCTGGGAGCGGCAATAAGCCCAAGCAGCCGGTTACGGCGACGAGCGCACAACCGGTGCAGTACCAGGTTTTCGGCTGTCAGTGGACGGACTGTCGTGCTGAGCTCCATAACCTGGAGGGGCTCAAGAAACACATTTTCAAGGTTCATGTCTCTCAGCAGCTGACCTGCGGTTGGAAGAGATGCACACACCCGGAGCCCATGCCTGCGGCGCTGCTCTTCAAGCACGTGAAGAAGGACCACCTGGATTCTATCGCGTGGAGGCTGGGCGATGGACCATCTGTGCCAAGACCTGGTGAGAAAGCATCTGGATGATCGCATTTCCACTTTACGCGTGACTTGTAGCATTTTGAAGGGCAATTGTTAATTATTTGACTCTTGCTCGCACTATCCAATAGGTGAAACCACTAGCGAAACAGGACTGTCTACGATTCCTCAGAACGGTCGACCTGGCATGGATGACATGCTTATCTTCCCGGCGAGTGGTTCGTCGATCCGAGCCTACCATAGAGTTCATGGCAAAACTACCCAGCAGCAAAAAGCGCAGGAAATCCTCAAGGCCGTGCAGCGACTGAAAGAACAGATCGGCGTGGGCTTGGACCCTGGGGGCTGCGAATTGACCAACTTTGTGCGGAATGAGCGACAGAGCACTGAGGAGGATGTTTATGAAGTGGTTGTCTAAGCCTGTGGTATCTTCATATTACGGCAACCGGCATTCTGCATTGGGCGGTGTGGTTGGTCCCTTTCTCAACTTTTCTAGAGTTATTCATTCGAGAGCATCGGTGTCGAGGCGTAGGTGTTCCGGTCGCTTTTTGGGAGTGTGTCCTGTGACTCCTACCCAGCTTTGGTTCGTCCCCAACCCGTCGCTTACCCCAGGAAACCACAACCTTGTACATTGATATCGTGGGAAAGCTGGGAACATCTGCAAGGTGATATACATCCATACAATGCACACATACGAAGATACATGTGAAGTATTTCATAGAAAGTAAACGATGCATTGGATGGGAGCCCAAAAGACCACCGCCCGGGTATTCTAAACAAACAAGCCCATTGCCTTTTGGTCTTTTCCACCCCGTAGTCATTCGCTTAAACTAGACTCGAGACACAGAACACAGAGATAAACGCGACAGAAAGAAAAAAGAAAATAGCAGTCAAAACGTTCAGGTTGTGGGTATCCATCCTCCCTAGCCAGACTTTCCTTCCCAATTCACACCCTACGACGACGATCCCACGGCCGCAGCAGCCGCAGCCGTCTCCTGCGAGACCCCGGGCACTTTTTGATCAGCGGGAGCGTCGAGTTCGGCGCCGTCGTCCTTGGCGTTGACTTCGAGGAAGTGGTAGAGGACAATCATCATCATGGCGCAGCTGCCGAGGAAGACGGCCAGGCGGTGGAGCTCGTCGTCGGTGATCATTGTGATGGTTGTATTTCTTTGGGGGATGGACTGGTGGGGTGAGAATTTTGAATATCACGGTGTGAGGTTCAATTGAGGTTGTTGTGTGGGTGTTTTGTGGTGATGCACAGCAGGAAGAGGTACCGGCGCTGTAGGAGGGAAGTAGATAGCGGAGATGGGAAGTTCACTATCCGGAGAACGGGGGAAGCCACGTTAGCCTTAATCATGGGATGCAGGGCAGTGTGTAGGAAGGACGGTTGAATTGAGGCGACATGTCGGCTGCTGGGTTGAAAATCAATGCAAGGAACATACCTAATCTCCGAAGATAGATTTGTTGGTTCAATGGGGGGAGCAACAGACTGTTGACTTGACGGTTCGGAGGAGGACACTTTGCGCTCTGTCGGGGAAAGTCGTCGTAATTCGTAACCAGTGGACTCCCTCCCGCCTTTCTTTATCAGTCAGCACTGCCTATCTTGATGCCTCATCGCCCAGGCAGCAACAGCTTTGACCGATCCCACTTCCTAATCAGGGCAGGGCGACCGGTGATTGGAAGCTGCGACTGTTAAGTTACAAGTTACCTAACCCGTGACCACCGACTGGACTTAGTCTAGCTTATGCCTAAGAATACAGGCAGCGGCCGCAACGGCCCGGCCGTTATTAATTATTATTTAACTTAGCATTTACAATCGTATCATCTCAGCTCTCACTCACTTCTTCCCCTGTCTTTCTTCTTGTTGGATGGACTACAGGTAAGAGTGAAATTCTGTCAGTCTGTCTGGATACTACTTCTGCAGCTATCCTCAGTCTTCAAATCTGCTGTATGTATGCGAACGATCTCTTTTCTTCGGTTGCCCTCTTTCCCCTCTGTCCCGAGTCCCCTCTTCCCCCTCCCGTGTCTGTCCCTCATAATCTCTTTCCCCCCCCCCAGAATTCCAGACAGCGGCTCTCCCCGCTCCATCCAGATCTCGGCTTTGCCTCAACGCTCTGGCTTTGCGCTTCTCAAGACAGCCCCTACCCATTTTTCATGCACTCTGATGTGTTTATTGATTGTTGGGTAGCTTAGCGGGGGCAGCTGGATTGCAAAATATTGATGTCCCCCGTGTTAATCGATCTATGACAGTCTGCCACCATGGACCAGGGAATCAACCCATTTGTGACGGCCAAACCTCCCAACCCACCCAAGAACGCCGGGCCTTCACTCCTCGCCTGCCTGCTGTGCCGACACAAGCATCTCAAATGTGATGGCAACACACCCGTCTGTGGCCGCTGTGCAGCCACGGGCGCCGAGTGCCAATACACCCCGTCGCGTCGCGGCTACAAAGGCCCGTCAAAGAAACGCCGAGCCAACCCGTCCTCCCCCGATCAACTCCCTACCGACCTATCGGCTTCGTTTGAGGCCCAGCCATTCTACAATGTCCCCTCCGAATGGGTTCTTCCCGGGAACATGCCTCTCATGCCAGTGACGACGCCGCTCCCCAGCACCAGCACGTTGCCGCCTTCCCTTCCGACCACCAGCCCCGAACTGACGACCGATGGCTCGGTCTCGTCGCAGCCTCTTCGCGCGGCTCACAGCCCCCTCACCCCGGACTCGTATTCTTCCAACCCAGGCGACAATTACCTCATTGACATTTACTACACCTACTTTCACCCCTCCCACCCCATCCTGCTCCCATTCCGGATTCTGTATCGGTCTCATGTCCCACCTTTCCTGGAGCATGTGATCAAATTCATTGGCACTCACTTCACTCCCGCTGCGTCCAGTGACACGTACAGGCCGACCGTCATGTCGTCTGTCATGGAACAAGATCCTTCGGTGGAAAAGGTTCAGGCCCTGTTGCTGCTGGCCATTGTTCTTCATTCGCGGAATGAGCGAGCTGATGCCGGAGTGTGCATCGCAATGGCTGTGGACCTGGCTTTTGAGCTCGGGCTACACACCCGACACTTCGCCCAGACCATGGGAGAGGGGGATCCGGTGCGGGAGGAGAGTCTGAGACGTACCTGGTGGGAATTGTTCATCATTGAGGCCATGCTGACTGCCCTCGGCGTTCAGCCGCAATACCGTTGCAACACCGTGCCTTTGGAAGTGCCACTGCCGTGCGAGGAGAGGATTTATCAGGACGGACTGGCTCCCCCGCCCCCATTGACGATCGCACAATTCGATGAGCGGGCGTTCGCTGATGAAGAACGGGATTTCTCCTCCTATACCTACCGCATCGAAGCGGCTCGCATCTTAGGGCGGGTGGTGGCCATTCAGGATATGGTCGAAGGCCAGCAGGATCAGGTCGAAGCTACCGACGCTCGGATTACTAGCTGGTTCCATCATTTGCCCGAGTCGAAGGCTGAGCTTCTGCGTCCTGATGGTTCAGTGGATGAGATGATGTTCCAGGCGACTATGGTCGTCAACGGGTCGTCGATCTACCTGCACTTCCCGCGCTCGGATCTGCTGTCGTCTCCCGCTGTGGCCGCGGAGGTGATCTGCGGTCATCATGGGCCGCTGAGCATCCCGGCCTTCTCGCACCATGCCCATGCCATGAAGGCCGTCAAGGCCGCCAGCGAAATCTCGACGTTGGCGTCGATCCGGATGCCCGTCGTCAAGCACACCCCGTTCTTCATCTGCACGTTGGTATTGAGCTCCATGGTGCAGCTTGCCGCCTGCTCGGTGAAAGCCGGCCAGATGCCCGACCCCAGTCGGGACCGGCTTACACTGACAATCGGCGTGTTCAAGACGCTGGCCCGCACGTGGGCCATCTCCCAGAGCATCATGCGGCAGATCAAGGCGGTTGCGCGCGACGTGATGGACCTTGGGCTCCGACCCAACATGGACCAGATCGATCTCAACAGTGTCTTGGATAATGGCCGCTTTTGGATGCCCGACATGCTGCCTCGCTGAAGAATCTGAGTCCGGCGCATCACCTGTGTGGTGTTCCTCAATCGTGGGAGACGTCATGCCTATTGTTTTCTCATCAAAGAATATATCAGCACCAGCCCTTCCCGCGCCTTCTCCCTAAAATTTCTTGTTGATATTCTTGACCATTGCAACGATGATACCCTTTCCCCTGACTGCCCCAGGATGTATGAAACCGGGCCCGACCTACTGAAGACTGATGATTTGTTATGGTGTATTTACATGCCAGGATATGCCGAGATGATGAACGATGACGATGCGGATGTGTTGAGTTACCTTGACACCGAGAATTTCTTGCGAGTTTCCCTACATCCGGGGCTAGTGTAATGGCTTTGGACGCTTCGGATATTCGCCTGCCAACCAGCAGAGCTACACATATTTCCCTTTTGGATTGTTGTCTTGTGGATCTCGTTTTCTGGTTCTACGGGACCTGCCTAGAATGCACATTCTTTAACATATTTTTCCTCATCCATTCTGAGGATTTCCTGTCCTTTCGATTATTTTGGGTACCAAATAGCATTTGATAACTGACTAACTAACTTCTGGTATATTAGTAAGCCACAAGTCCGGGGAAATTCCGTCGCACTAGGTTTTTTAGCCTTTTGTCGATCTCCACTGCGGGCACGCGTTCCCGTCACTGTCTGCGTATCCACTATCTACAAAATTCCATTCCATGTTTTTCAGTTAGTCTTCTTCAACATGTACACTTGTATCTACGCTCGGGTCTTTTCTTATATTCTCCTGAGTATAATTTACACAGCAGACTGATTGTGTCACTCTTCCACGCTTACTTGTGACAGCTCGATCACCACCCAAACCAAACCAATCACAATCAGTTGCAGCAGAGCATCCCACCCCCAGAATGGGGAACCTCACAGTGTCCGAACTCCACAAAGCCCTCCCCGGGGGCAACTACTTGGACTGGCTGGTGGTGGACGATGTACTCCACCAGATCCTCGTGGACGCAAAGCAACTCACAAAACCGATCAGGCACCTCCGCGTCCGCATGCAACTCGAAGACCAACTCATTGACCGCCTCCCACAGCTCCCGCTCTTCATCCACTCGGCCTACGACGCCAACAAAGTCAACTGCATGCTCTACCTCTTCCGGTACATGATGAAACTCAAAGGTGACCTTCAGACGCGCTGCCGCAAGCGCCGCCTGGTCCTGCCTGCCAACGCCGCCGCGGGGGAGCTCGGCACCTTCACCAAGCCGCCCGCGAACGTGATCAGCAAACATTTTGTGGAGATCAACGTGCGGCGCGCCGGGAAGCCGGAAACCCGTCACCAGTCCAATTGGCGGTATTATTATACGGACGATGGGGAAGGGGGCAAGGTGGTTTGCCGGTTGCCGCAGGGCATGTACGGTGCGTTCGTGGATGAGATCAGAGACAAGAGGGTCTACTATCGTCGGGACAAGGATGTGCTTCAGCCGCTGTGGCCGGAGGCGGAGAGCATGAATGTGGCGGTTCGGGGGTTGAGGGAGAAGATCGGCGATGTGGTGGAGGGGGAGGAGGTGTGGTTGCGGGCCTTGTTTGCGTTGATGCATTCGGATACGGGACCGGTTTGGTTCGTTGTTGCTGGTGAGTTGGCCGGTCGCCGGTCGAGTGGTTTGTGGTTGGTAGCTGACGTTGCCCTAGCTCGGGGTAAGAACCCTGATGGTGTTGATGGTGTTATCTACCCTGGATACGGGAGATCCGGCTCTGAACGGCAGTGTATGCATGGGACTTCTCTTGGAGATGAAGCATCTCGTGACCAAGAGTCTTCTCGTGGAAGTCCATCAAGATCTCCCGAACTCGATCGACATTCTGAAGATGATCTACACTCAGAACCGGAAATCCCACCACCGGCGCCAACGCGCGGAACCCGACACCTACACGCCCGCGAACCGCATCCCCCAACCAACAAACCAACTCATGATCGCATATTCATCCCGCCGTGGACGGTACCTCAGATCCCACCACCACCGCAACCACAGCCGACAATAACTCCTGCCCTGGGCGACCGCGACCCGCCGCCCGCCAGACCGTCTAGCTCTCGTTCCATCCTGAACACTCCCCCGCAGCCGGACTGCGCGGAGACGGACCGGAGAACGAGGAGGCATCTGACTATATCTTCTCTTCTGAACTGAATTCGTAGTAAATCTTGAGATACCCTGTCTAGCGTTCCCCCTTGCCCTGCTGTGTACGTACGAACAGCGAAAGCCTTGCGGGTTTGACGCAGTTATGAAGAATTCCGAAGTTGGCCAGCAGTCAAGCCCAGTGGCTCCTTATTTTCCCCAGGAATAACGGTAATGACGACTTGCGCTCTCTAACCTGTAAGCCCTGATACATCGGAAGGAAAGTCCCCGGGCCCTCTCGGTAATCGCTATGCTTTTGACACGGGAGGAGGTTAGGGTGTAGTTAACTATAACTAGTCCATGCTGTGCCACCTCCCTATGTTCAGTTCTCTCTACGCCAGCAAGTAAGTAAACATCTTCTTCCCACACCTCAACCCCCCGAATATCAGCAGAAGAAATGAATAATTAGACTAGGACCAGCGCGCGCCCCCGAGAATGAGAATAACACGCTAGCTACCTCATGCTGAGATCCCCTGGAGCTAGACTATGTCTTGTTATTTCTCTCAACCCGCCCTCAAATTATCACCCTCGTTACCCACACTCCATACATACTCACAGTATTCCTAGAGAAATGGAAGAATCATTCGATGTATAGTGTAACTGCTGTACTATACTGTGCTGTACTGTACAAACCCATCCGCCCACCACAGGCCCCCTCCCCTCCTCTTCCCCTCAGGGCTCTGAGAGGCAACTACTCCTACTCCTACTCCTACTCCTCCCTAGCTCCTACAGCCATCCCACCATCATCAAAAAAGACCGCAACGGATTTTAACGAGCGAAAAGACGAACTATCAAGAGAATCCAAAAAAGCAAGTCCTCAAAGCAAGGCAAAGGAACGGGGGTATTCGTATTCGTATTCTTCAATTCAATTCAAATCAAGTCAAAGCAAGTCAAAGCAAGTCAAAGCAAGTCAAAGCAAGTCAAAGCAAGTCAAAGCAAGTCACCGGGCCATGCATCTGCTAATTTCATGCTGCAGAAAATCAAAAGAGCGGTATAAGTTTTCAGGCACGGGAGTCTATAGTTAAAGCAAAGCAAAGCAAAGCAAAGCATCGGTCGTATCAACTTCGTGCAAATCACTAACTCAAGGTTGTCTTTCACCATGATATGCGAGCGATGCGCAAGAATAAAAAAAAGAAAAAAAAAAAAAAAAAAAGACAGGGCCAATCTATGGGGGGCGATGCGGAATTCGTAAGGAAAGTCGTTTATCTAATGGTGGTATCGAGCAGTGCAAAGGAAAAGGTGCAGGCAGGCTGAGACAGAAACAAAACGTGTAGTGCAGGACGACATGAAATGGGTGGGGCAGAGTGCTCTGGTTTGTTTCGTGGCTGGCGTGGGGCACTTGATGCAAATGCAATTCGAACTAAGATGGAGTGTGTTACAGAAGGTGAGGTGAGGTGGATGGCTATGCTTCGGCAGGACCACCCTCTTCGGCAACAGAAGATGGCCGACCTGCGGGGAATTCCTGCATCTCGCGGAGGGCATCGGCTCGCCGGGCCACCACTTCCTCTCGACGGACGACGTTGCGCAGCGCGTCGCTGGCTTGGATGAGGCCGTCGATGCTGATGGCGTGGTTGGTCATCTGGTGGTTGATGTACGTGTAGAGCTCTGCGGGCGTGGAACAGGTCGTGAGGAGTTGCTGTTCGTTCAGTTTCAGCAGCGCGAGAGCAACTTGAAACAGAAACGTGCTGCCACCGCCACTGCCGCTGCTCGATGGGGCATTGTTCGTGGTGGTCGAGTTGGTGTCGTTGGTGTCGCGGGATGACGACGCATTCGTGGGGGTGAATGAGCTGGTCACGTTGAGGCAGAGGACAACATCCCACACCCGGTAGAGTGCCTCTGCGGAGAGACAGTCGGTGAAGACGGAAAGGAACCACTGGAACGTCAAGGCCTCCAGTTCGACATTCAGGCCTTCAAGGTGCGCAGATAGCTTGGGCAGGACTTCCGAGATGTAACGCCGCAGAACTACTTGATCCGCGCGGGACGCTAGCAGGCCGTGGTCGTAATAATGCTCCGGCAGGATCACCTCGATCATGGACGCAAGAAGCCAGAAGGTGTCCTCCGCCGTGGGTGTGACAAGCAGCAGGGAGGCAGCAATGAGGTTCATTCCTTGACAGTATCCGACCTCTGGGTTGCGGCGAGAATATGCGAGGAGGACTTCCTTGAGCTTCTCCACCCCGGGGCCTTTGCGGAAGAAGACATTGTCCGTCAGAGTGCGGTTGATATCCATCTCGATCTGCGACACGACCGAAGAGTCGGGGTCACTCCCACCAACGCCCCGGACGAGGTCATCATAGTACCCGGGCACCCGCATCGAAGACGCGCCGCTGCATTCAGACCAGATCTTGGCTCGAAGAGCGACGGGAATCCCACCGAGCACGAGGGCTCGGAACTCCCGCCATTTGGCACGGCCGACCTTGCCTTTGTTGCCCAGACCAGATATGCCCACCATTTCGCCGTCCGCTAGGGACGCCTCCGGCGTATCGACAGACTGCAAAGGGCGGTCCGAGGCCGCGGCCGCGGCCGCAGCGGCTTCCCCATCCTTGCGGCGTTCGGCACGCACCTTGCGCAGGAACTCGTTCCATCTCACCGTTCTTTCTCGCTGCAGAGAATCATGCAGCTCGGTCAGCTGCTCTAGCAGTAACTTGACCGGCTCGTTCTCGTTGGCAGCCAGCGCGGCAGACTCGTCGGAGGACAGCCCGGCGAACTCTGGGCGATCGGCAATCACCGTTGAGGTAGATGCAGATGGCTGGGCGTTGGGGGTGACGGAGACGGAGCCACGTTTGTCGACAGCTACTGCGCTGCTGCGCGGCTGAGTATCCCCTGCAGTAGTCAAAGAGATGATAGGACCAGCGGAGGGGGTGTGCGAAAGCAGTTCAGTCGGTGCCGTCGGAACCACCAGATAGTCCTGCCATCGCCCAACCGCAATAGCACCAGCTTCGGCGTTCCTGGGGGATACAGATGCTGGAGATGATTCGCTACCAGTGGTAGCCTGCAATAGATTCCGATAGTCGGAGCCATCATCGCCGTCTGAGGTATCACTGCGAAGGCTGTCTAGAGTCTCCGCGATGCTAAGCCGGTTACCTGCCGACCCACCCCTTTTCAGATCGCTGGCTTCCCTCTGCCGCCTCTTCCGGCTTTGATCGTAGATGAACCCGAACCGGTCCGTCAGCAGATCTCCCGACTGGTAATTGTTGTAAATGTTAGCAAGCGTCGGAGGTCGATCCTCCAGCGGCAAAATCGCATCCATCTCCACGGGGCCGAGATTGGTGGCATTTTTGCTTGCAGCCTCGGAGCTTGCACCTTGTGAAACGCTCGCCGACCCTTGTCTCCGACCGGCCTGGCTGGCTTTGGCCAAGGCACCCGATCCAGGGGATCGACCTGGAGCACCTTGGATGTTGACATTGCTGTTGATCCGCTTCAGCGCCGCCACCGCCGAAATGGCCGGTGACACAGGCTTGTTCGCTTCGCGGTTGGCCGACATAGCTCTTCCGCGGGTATTTTCCGCGTTCGCATCGTCTTTGCTCGGTTGGGTGTTTCCGGCAAACAGCTTGACCGTCCATGAGGACAGCGACTTTGAGGATTTGCGCGAATGGACACTGGCGTCATCGCCGTTGGCGGCCGCGAGGCGCCGTCCAACCACCTCGCCGGCTCCCAAGCCACTTTGTTGTTGGTCGTCCGGGGGTTGGAACAATTGATCATCGAGAGCTTTGCGGCGCCCCGCCGATGGGTTGCTCGCGTTTCGAGGCCGCTGCGTCTCCTCCTCGGCTCCGCTCATGACACTGCTGGCGCGACTCGTCTTCCGACTCCCTAGCGTCCCGCCGAAAATGAAATCGCCCCAGCTCCGGATCGAGCTCTGTCTCTTACGGTTCGAGTTGGAGTCGAGGCTCGAGTGGCCCGAGCGCGCGTCACTCTCGAGCGACCGCTGCGGCGCGCGCACCGTCGCCTGCTGCGCCGGATTCCCCCCATTCTCCGCCCCACCGAGATCCTCCGCTCCGTGCAACAACCCCACCCCGTCGTCCATCGCCTGCTGCATCAGCCCATGTACGCTCGACGACGAGCTCCCAGACTGCTCCGCATTCGCCCCGCCGTTCTCCTTGCCCCTTGCCCCCTCGGGATTCACGGGGAGGTGCTCCAACACATACAGCCGCCGCTCGATATCCTGGTTCGAGACCGAGACCTCGCGGAGCATGCGCTTCAGCTCGCGCTCCCGGGCGTCCGCCCGCTGGCGGAGCGCCGAGATCTCCGCATCCCGCTGCGCCAGGTCCCGCGCAAACTGCCGCACCAGCTTGACCGCACCCGTGGTGGCGATCAGCCGTTCGATGTGCGCATCGTCCGCCAGATGAAGGGCCCCGGGGAAGTCCCGGATGGGCACCGAGTCGCCGAAGAGGGCGGCGCGCCCCGACGCGCTGGCGGTGGTCGAGGAGCTCGTCAATTTGGCCAGAGCGGCTCGCCGATCCCGCGTAGTGGTGGTGTTGTTATTATTCTCCCCCGCTGTGTGTAGGAAGTCGTTGATGCTATAGATATCCCGGTCTTCCAGCAGTGCATTGGTCAGGGCGCGATTGAGGGCCGGCTGGCCGAGGAACCCGTCCACGGAGCGGTCTGGCGGAGAAAGGGATGGGAAGGAGGTGAGGTCCGTGGTGGTCGCGTTGGAGGAGGCGGCGGAATGGCGCTTCTGGGAGCGGGCTCGGACGGTCCTAGCCTTCTGGCTGTGTCGGGAAGAGGAGGAGGTCCGCGAGGACGAACGACGCGGTACTGGGGCCGGTGGTGTTGGTGCTGGTGCCGTGGGTAGATCGCACTCCGCCATGGCTGTTAGGGCGGTGAACACGAGAGGAGGGTTGCAGATCTGTGGTCTTCATGTAAACTTTTGATGTCTCGCTTTCTGTACTATTCCTAGTTCAACTTGGACAAATCATGAACAGATTCAGGAATAAATTCAGGCCGGGGAAGTGGTGTGGCTGGTTTTAAGGTGGTGTTTGGAGACGGTGGTCAGGTCTCGTGCAACTGTAGCAGCTGTGCAGTGGTGCTTGCTGCCTCGCGGGATTTTTCATTTGTAGGAGATTGAATGATGTCGTAACCGGAGCAAGTGCTGGAAGATCTGCACAGTGAGCTACAGACCACAGCGTAGACCGCCTCAGATGATAATGGAAGAGAGAGGTCGAAAAGAGCAGAAGAAAAAAAAAACAGGGACGGGGCAACGAGAGGAATCAGGCGCGCGGGCAAGTCTGGAATGTCGGTTGCTTTTCCAAAGCGGAATGGCATTTCTGCCTGTCCATGACGTGTGGCCGCAGCAACCCATGTGACTGCTGACATAAGACCACAGCTCCAAGTCACCTGACCAGCTCCGTCCCAGCCTCGGTTCTCCGCAAAATGTAAGCGGAACTGCCGCGGGGACAATTGGGAGGAGTATATAAAGACGGAGACCCCCCTGTTCTCGTATTCAATTGACCATATAACTGACATTGTTGGACAGTAAGCTCAAATCTCACTTTCAAATCTCACTTGGATACATCTCTTGTCTTCTTCATTCTCAAAAGCGATCACCCCAGAACCATGTCCGGCAACGCCAAACGCCGTCTCCAAGCTCTCAGCCAGCAGCTGGTCGAAGGCATCCCCGACGCCGGGACCTTCGAGGATATTCCCCGCATCCGATCCATTGCCCCTGACTCCGTGGGACCGTCAGTACACCCGATTTCCCTCAAGTCATCGTCTGTCAGAGAGCCAACTAACCTCTGAGTGATAGTCGGGTGAAGGACAAAGTCGCTATCGTCACCGGTAAATGCCCAACTATAAAATATGCATTACATGCTCCCAAACACCCGGCCCACCCAGCCCATCCATCCCCTCTCAATCCCCCTCAACAGCAGTAGCATCACCACACCCACCCGGGCCAACCCCCAGTTCACCAACCCAAACCAAATTCCACTCCACAAAAACCAAAAACTAACCCCCGAACGCAGGCGCCAACTCCCCCACCGGCATCGGCCGCGCCACGGCGCACCAATACGCGCACAACGGCGCGGCAGCCGTCTACCTCTGCGACTTCGTCGACACGCACCTAGCGACACACAAGCGGGAGATTGAATCCCTGTACCCTGCGACAAAGGTGTACATCCGGCGGTTCGACGCCGCGGACGAAGGGGCCGTGCAGACGGTGGTGGCCGAGGCGCTGGGCGCGCACGGCCGGCTGGACATCTTCTTCGCGAACGCGGGCGTCGTGGGGCAGCAGAAGCTGCTGACGCAGATCACGGCGGAGGAGTTTGCGGATACGTTGCGCGTGAATACGGTGGGGTGCGTATAGTAACCTTCCTTTCCCTCCTTCATGTGCTTGACCCGAAGGGGGGGGGGGGGGGGGGGGGGTCGACGTCAGCATGAGAGTCATCGACCGCGCAGGCATAAGCATGGAGAGAGTAATTGGTGCTGACACATTCCCCGTTGTAGGGTGTTTCTGGCCGTCAAGTACGCTTCGACCGCGATGCAGCAGACGTCCGCCGCCAAGCCCTACCCGGGCGGCTCGATCATCTGCACGGCCTCGGTGGCGGGCCTGCGGTCCAACGCGGGTTCGACGGATTACTCGGCCTCCAAGGCGGCGGTGGTCAACATCGCGCAGACGGCCGCCTTCCAATTGGCGGGGACGGGCATCCGCGTCAACGCCATCTGCCCCGGCCTGATCGAGACGGGGATGACGCAGCAGATGTTCGACGCCGCGCGCGCCCGCGGCACCCAGCGCAAGCTCGGCCAGCTGAACCCCTTGCAGCGCGGGGCCATCGCCGACGAGGTCGCGCGCGTCGCCCTGTTCTTGGGCAGTGACGAGGCCAGCTACGTCAACGGGCAGGCCTGGGCCGTTTGTGGCGGACTGAGTGCTGGACACCCGTTCGTGCCGGGGAAATTGGCCTAAACGAAACACGCACGGTTCGGTACAGGTGACAGTACAAAGGACATTGGACAGCGTGGATTGGGGGTGATAAGTACTTTTAAAAAACCGTTCAATTAATGTGAGATGATCTCGTACAGCACTGGCTGCACGGTAAAAAGACACGGCTGATCCGTATATAACGGACTCCACGTGGCAGCTTCAAGCAGCCTTCTCCAGAGAATTGGAATTATACACAAATGGGAAACACAAAGATGACACAGTAGGAAAATCGAGCGAATGAAGGGTCGGCCCCGTTACAGAGTGCCAAGGTGATCTACTACAAGGCGGGGGATAGCGACAGATCCCAAGAATTGAAAATGGTATAGAACCGGTGAAGGAAAGAGACAGCAACCCAAGACATCGAGGGGTCCCAAGAATAGAAGGCCAAGAAAAACGGGCTTGGATCCAAGAAATACCTTCCAGAAGAAAAGAGATTAACACCTGTGCAGAAAATCATGGGACATATGTCCAAACTGGATCAAATGGAGCCAATATCCACGAGGTCCCCCAAGAAAAAGATTAAAACGAAGGAGAAAAAAAAGGCCAAAACATGGCTAGAAATGCGCTCTGAATCAGTTGGAACAGTATAAGAGCAGATGTCATGTCACGGATCGTTGGACCAGGGAATCGCAGAGACAATGCACTTTTACACGACCAATCTGGAAGTGCTGGACTGCATGAGGTCTTCGCTCGCCTGCTTCGACAGAGTGCCAGGTTCAGAGTGCTCGTCAAAGCCCGCCGTCTCATGGGCACGTTCATCGTTGTCCTCGACTATCCGGGTGGGGATCTCACTGACCCCATACTGCTGACTCGATCTCTCCGGGAACGTCGAGCTACTGATCATTGACATCGAAGTGCTGGACCGGTTGTGGACTAGGTCCGGTGTTGGAGGAACACTCGAATGGCGGTCGTTCGGGTGCAACGAGTTGTTGTCACCGTCCCCCATCTCGCTACCCGCAGGAGTCAAGAGTCCATCGTGCGTTCTGGGCATCAGGCGGTTACCGGACGGGGTGGTCCGACCGTGGTCATCAATGTCATCCTCTTCCGCATCCTGTGCCAGTTGCAGACCTTCCACGGCGGCGGCGCACTGCTCGCTGATGCTGCGGATAATGTCCGAAATGGCATCGGTCTTGTCGCGCAGGTAGCGATCTGCAACATCAGTTATACTTAAACGCGCGAGACGATTATGCCCTTTACCGATGTTCAGGAGATGTTGCTCCAAATCCGAGCTCGGCTCGCTGCTGGGAGCCTTTACGGGCTCCGTAGCAAACGAGCGCGAGCTCGCAGGTTCCCTAGGCGTCTCGACCTCGCCCTCCTTGGTCTCCTCAAAGGTCTCCTTTTCAGCGAGCCCTGACAGTTCGGCAGAGCTGCCAATCGAGCGAACGATATGCTCCATGTGGTGGGTCTGGCCATTGATAAGGCTGCGAAGGTGCAGGACCACCCGCTGCGCATCATCACGCTGCCGAGCTAGAGACGCGTTGCTGTGTTGCAAGGAAGCGAGCTCCTTTTGATTACGCTTCCGCTCACGCTCCAATTCCTCCGCAATCTCTTGTTGCAGAACCAACGCCTCAAGTGCATCGTCGCGCTGCTTCTCTGTACCAGACAGGCGCAGTGTGAGACGAGCTACATCGTCCTTCTGCTGGTCAATGAGACCAGTGAGACGACGGTTTTCGCGCTTGTGATTCTCAATCTTGACCTTGAGCTCAGAGGTCTCCTTGGTCAATTGTTCGGCGAACGCCTGGAATTTGAGGAACTGTACGAAATTAGGACGACGTTCACAATCGAAAAAGTCCTCGCAATGACATACCTGTTGCTTCCAAGTCTCCAACTCCTCAACCAAGAAGTTGTTGCGCTTCGTGACCTTGGTCAATTCCGTGTCCATACGACCCTTCAAGTTAATGAAATCTTGCCAGGCCTCCATGGCATCGCGGGAGTATTGGTTTCTCTCGCGGACAATCTCGTTCAGATGTCTCATAGAGACCTTTGTCATCAAAGGCTTCTTGACTGAGCCACCGAAGATAGCCTTCATGCCAGTGTTGCGTCCCTGATCATCCAGTTAGTATACACAGACTATGAGTGGAAAGGAGGGATACTAACCAGCTTCTCGCACACATGATCCATGACACCCATGATCGCATCTTGGTTCCACCAGGAGGGATCCTGAACACTTTCCACCTCCCCTCGCATGACAATGATCTGACCAGCGGGGATGAGCTTGCCACCTGCGTAGGCGGAGCGGAGATGATTGGGAACCCCGGACGGCGAGACATCGCCATTGAGAGCCTGCGTCAGTCGGTTGATGAACTTCGTGCGCTGACCGGGACTCAGGACGCTCGGTGGGCTCGAAGTCAAGACGAAATTCCGGTCGAGATCGATGACCAAGGCATCTGAAGGAGCGTTGAAAAGAGACCGGCACTCAGCGGTGATACCGAGAATGTACGGACCGGGTTCCTGGACCAAGTCCTTGACATGACGGGCATGAACCATAGGCACATAGAGACCGCTCCATTCGTAGATGCGAACGCAGTACCGGATAGTCTCAGCGGCCATTGTGAGCATAGCCGGGTAGTGGCTGACGAAGATGATCCGGCGGGTGGGTGAGACAGCAGCCTCAATGACCCCAACGATATTGGGAATGGACAGACACGTGAACAAGGGCCACATGGAGAAGTTCTGGAAGCCTGTGGGAGACGAGGGAAATTGGTAGCAAAGCGCATAGTCCTTCATGTCAATACGAACCAGGTCGTTGAGGCGAGGGGCGGGGAAGCTTAGGATGCGCGAGACTTCTTCCGCGTGGAACAAGTTGGTTGCCTTGTTCCAATGAATCCACATGCCACGCAGGTAGTCGCCTAGAAGGTCGTACAGAGGGTAGCGAGACAGGAAGCTCAGACAGTAGGGGATCCAGTAGGTCTCCTCTGGGTTGTCATAGAAATCCTGCTCAGTCTTCTTCCGCAATTCCCGGATGGTTTCGGCGCGTTTATCGTCGGCGCGAGACCAGACCCGCAAAGCAATCCCATAGAGTGTGTGGGAGGAATCTTGTTGCAGGACGAAAGCATGGTGCACGCAGTGAGGCTGGGTCTTGCCGGTGCAAATCTCGACATCGTGGGGGAAACAAGCCTAGATCATGTCAGTAACCTGCAACTTCGTTTGACACCATCGGACATAACACAGGGGCGATGACATACTCTCATAGCCGCATGCAAGGACTTAGCGATCTCGTTATCCTGTTCCAAACGGGGGCTGCTCCCGAGGATCTCAGGCAACCAGAACTGACTGACGGCTCCCTTCATGTGGGCGATCTTGCCCTGGGCGGGGGCGGGGGCGCGAACCCATTGAGAGGGTTCGCGACCCACACCGCAGACCATGTAGGCATGGGTGAGAGTCTTGGGGGTCCGTTGGGCGGCGGGTTTCGAGTTCATCTGGGATGGGATTGGTTGAGTGATGCGGGAGTGAAGCGAGGAGGTGCGACTGGGGACGACCAGCGAGTTTTCTCCTTGGTCGCGCGTTGAAGGCCGATCGCGGGTAGATGGGCGGGCGTAGGACGCAGGGTCTCTCAGAGACGGGCCCATAATGACGGTCGGGGAGATTGTTTATGTACTTGTGTCGGCAGAGTGACGAATTGGTCCTCGGATATGTGCGAGGTCAATTGGGTGATCCTGTTTTTTGGGTGTGGCAAGTTTTCTCGAACCACGGATTCTGAGAGATCTGACGGGAATGAGAGGAACGGAACAGAGCAGTCGGATGGGAACAAGGGAATGAAAGCTCGTAATGGAGTAGAGAAGATGACCAAGGACGAGCTGAAGATAGCACTGCTAGCAGTCGGGAATGAAGGTGAAGCCGAAGGAAAGACAACAACCGAACAGGGGGCGAAACAGGCGATTGGTGATAATAATGTTGTTGGATGGGTGGATGGACTCGGATAAAGAGAGATCGGACAATTCGGTCACAGCTACTGCTCACACACACACACTCAATTGATGGACATTTCCCAGGTCGGGCGATACAGGCACGTCTTTCAAAGGTCAGACATGTGTGTATGTATGTAGTTTATTGAGTGGACTCGAGGCAAGGATTCTCTCGTCTCTATCCCCTGGGATCGGTTGGTGCGGTGGTGGTGGCGGTGGTTGTTGACACGGAATAGACCTGATCCTCGGGTGAGGGGAAGAGGGAGGGAGGGAGGAAGAGAGGAAGAGGTAAGAAAAGAAAGAGGTAAGAAGAGAGGGAGGGAGGGGATGAGGACGGGAAGAAGGCCGTTAGAAAAGGTTTAAAAAAAGAAAGAAAGAAAAAGGGAAGAAAGAAAAATAGATTAACTGGTTTTACGGAGAGAGAGAAACTCTCTCGAGCAAGAACAAGCGCAAGCTTGTCAATCTTGACCCTGTACTCCGTAGTAAACTAAAAGTACTAACTAGAGTAGAGTATGAAAGGGGGTTGCGGAAAGTGGAAAAGCCGGTCCTGTTCCTGCGCCGGTGGATTTGCCAACCCACTAAAGCTCTCTAAAGCTCTTTAGTTCCGTGGCACTAATTTTTCCCATCTCCACTTCCTCGTGCTTCCCTTTCATGGAGGTCAATTGCATCTTCGCAGCACAAACTACAGCTCTGCTAGTGTGATGTGATGTGCAATGTGCAATAGGCAAGATGAAAGTTCTACAAGTATCCATCCATCCATCTTCCTCTTTCCCGATTTTCCGCCGAATTCTATTCTGGACGAGCTGCACGCTGCTGGCCGTTCCTTGCGCCCGTGCGGGGAGAGGAGAAGCTTATAGCTTGGTTGCGCGGAGAGAGATCCCTCGACCAGTTACTCTGACAGTCTGACTTGGCCTGACGAATCCTGGATCACACAGGAAATCAGGTCAGTTTATAGTCTGAATTGCGATTGCATGGGTATGGGATGAGCCAACAAGAGAACCCCAGGTATCATCGGCCCGAAAGTCTCAACCACGCGACAATGGGGCTTTTTCCGGAAAGAAACCATTGGGACGATGAGGCCAAACCAACAACCGGAATAATGAAGAACCAGTCAAAACTCAAAACCTGAGCCACGCTGGTCTGGTGAGGAAGATC